ATTTACATGTTAAATTTATAATAAATATTTTATATTATAATACATTATTATTTTAATTATCAATAATTTATTTAAAAATATTAAATTTTAATTAAAAATAAATATGAGAAATTATAATTGGAACTGCAAAAGTTTTTCGTTAAAAATAAATATAAAAACGCTTTTAAGTGAGCTAGTTACTCGCATTTATACATAGAAAGTGATATGTCGAAAGACTAATGTATTAAGATTTTGGAAATAGAAAAAACATTTTAAAAATATATTTTTAATATTTGTCAAAATTTGTATTGAAAAATTATACTCACCTCCCTAAAGTTTGTTTAAATGAAACATATCTCTCCTTTAATTTTTTAAAAATTACTCATTTATTTTAGAATAACATCATTAATTAAAGAAAAAAATAAAAGTAAATTTATATTTTATTAATTATATTCATGTATATATATTTTATTTTTTATTTAGGTACAATATTTTGTTTTCTTATGAAAATTTTCATTATTCTTCAATTTAAAAAAAAAAACAATTTCTTAACTTGTTCTTTAAATATTATTTATTAAAGTTAGTATATTTTTTAAATTATAATATTTAAGATATAATTTAATAATTAAAATTGAATAAAAAAATCAAGTCTCATTTAATTATTAATATTTATATTAATAAAAAAATTTCTTAAAAATGCATAATGATACTATTTTATATAAAATAGTTATATCTATCACTTAAATAAATAAATAAGAGAATATGTGTTATATCTACAGGAAACATGAAATTACTCTTTCTAAAACATGAAAATAGAAAGTAAATTTTTCTATCTTTCCCGTGTATCATACGTTTGCAAGTTTTCATCAACAAAACAAACACAGTATGACTAAGAAAAAGGAAAAATTCCTGTCCACGTTTAAAATTTCCTTGGATGCCATTTAATAATAACTTGGATTTGCCCCGACGACCCCGCCATTCCATTTCCATATTCCAATTCTTAAAGCTTTCCAGAAACATACAAACGGAGACCAATTCATCCAACTCACTCCCGAATTCATGATACTCACAAATTACAATATATTTATAAAATTAATGAAAAAGAGGTTTTCCAAATTAAGTTTAAAATCAATATAAAAAGATACTTTTTAAATTAGTTATAATATAAATTGATGTAAAAAGTTTATTTGTTTTTTTTATGTAATTGTTGTTAGAATTTATATATAAAAAAAGTCGGGTTTTGTCACAACCATTATAGAGAGATAATTTTGTACTTCGATTCTCATTACAATTGTTAAGATTGTAGTAAGTATATCAGTCTTACTAGTAATAAAGAGTAAAAAGCGTATCATATATATATATATATATATATATATATATATATATATATCCATATGTATTGTGGTTTAACTATAATGCAGTCAACTAATTATTCTTTTGGTTTCAGAATTAAGAAAACTTTAGCTTTCGGTTTTATTGAAAGAAAAGGAAGAAGAATGCAAGTGTCAAGTATGAGAAAAATCAACTAATGAAAACGTGTAAATATCGGAATCCCCTAAGATAACCTCTTTCTCTTATAAAAAAATTTTCATAGAGAAAAAAGTAAAGTTAAATCAACCATGTGTACATGGATATTTTTAGAGATGGAAAAAATGACACATAAAACACAGGGATGTAGATAGGAGAAAAGGATTGCAAAAATGAAATTCCAACAGGAAAAAACTATTTTAATTTTAATTTAAATATATTTTTAGTCTCTCAAATTTAGGATAAATTTATTTTTGGTTTCTCAAATTTAAAATTATTCTTTTTAGTTTTTGTAATTTTCAAAAAATTTATTTTAATTCTTAAAGTCACTAATAACATATTTAAAAGAGAAAGGTTAAAACAATTATATAACAACAGCTGAATTTAATATTATATTTTTACTAATAAAGACATTAATAAATTTTATGCGACAGTATTTATCAGACTTTTTTATCAAAATTTGGATATAAAAATTAAAATAAATTTTTTTAAAATTATAAGAACTAAAAATATCAATTTTAAATTTAAAAGACTAAAAACATACTTATATTAAATTTGAGGGACTAAAAATATATTTAATCATTTAATTTTCAAACATATGATGCAAAATCTAAATTCAACGATTAACTCACACCCAGTGGCACAAAAACTAAGCTGGCACCAGGCCGTTATCCTTCAGACAAAATGATGGCCCAATTATTTACAGTATGACTTGTCCATAAACATTTTGGCCCATTTCACCAATGCAGACTGAACCACCGTAACAAAAATAGCAGCAAATAAAAAAACAAAAAAACAAAAAAAAAAAAAGTTAGACAAACAGGGGCTTCGTCACTCGCTAGTAAATTTGGATCCTCTCCTGCAATTTTCTATCTCCAGCCTCTCTCCAGCAACATTAATAGTCATTAGATATATTTAATGACTTAAATTTAATCATTTAAGAAATTATATTAATTATAAGATTAAATTGGAGTCATTAAATATATCTCATAATTATTAATATTGTAGGAGAGAGACTGGAGAGAGAAAATTGCAAGAGAGGATCTAAGTTCCTCCGGTGGTTCATTTTGTTAGATTTTCGCTTCCCATATTTTTGTATTCAGGTTTTCAGAATACAATATACAATATAAAGAGAAGAATAATGAAGTTTAGATGCACCAATAACGGATGCTCAATTTTTTCTCCCTAATTTATTTATTTTAACCTCTTTTAAATTTTTATTTAGTCCTAATTTCATAATGGGCTGAAGCTTCTCTCACTTGTATTATTTTTTTAAGTTAAATAAAGAAAATATAAATAATTCCTGAAAATTGTCATTTGATAGGATAATTAAGACTTTTTGTGGTTGTAAAAAAATATAGAAACAAAAATTAGTTGATTTACCCAACCATTATTTTGCCTATTACTATTATATATTGTGGATTTTATGACATTTTGATTATTCAATGCTTGGTAGTTCAGACAAAAGAGTAGCAAATAGAGCCGTTTTTAGAGTAGAAAGCCTCAAAGTTAATTAGGATGTTCTAGACTATGCATGGCTATAAGCCATGTCATGCAACTTTTTTGAACTATTCCATTGTGCACAATGTAACAGAAATGTGCATAGCTCAAACTTGCCTTTTCAATACAAACGCAAATGCTTGTCCTTATTCAAAGCAAAAACCCTGCCACTATGGTATTGGTACATCAAACACAACAATGGGACTCCTCACTTGGAATTCACCATCATCCCAAACCAAAGAACCTGACACAATAGCTGCGTCTATTGATCCATTGATACTAAGCACAAACGTTCTCTTTTGGCCAATAGAAGTGAATGGCAAAACACTCGGCTTAACTTGGATTTTAAGTCCTCTAGGAGCAGTCACAATGGCTTTATATGTGGACGTTGGTGACCCTACATTTGTGTATGTCCTGTAGAAACTGCCACTTACATTGGGCTTGCCGTGTGTGGCTTGAAGAGCAAATGAAGGGTAGTTTAGATCCCTTGCTGTTCCATAAGTTGTCTCAGAAGAACAACAGCTGCTATCCCCTGTGATGAGTTGTAACATCTTTGAACTATACCCTTGTCCACATAAAAATCTTACATAGTCACTTTCACCAGCATCATACACCAGACCGGGTTTCAAAGCCTTGGAAGGATCAATTTGCCCTGCTCCATATGCGAATTCAGCATCACGGTTATTATTGGCTCTCATAGGCTTAGCTGCATGGAGCAAGTAGTAATGTCTTTGAATTAGCTTATTTTGGGCACAGAACATGTTATAAGCAACTTTTTATTTTAAAAATGATTGAAATTTTGACTTAATTGACACTCATATTTTGACGAAATTTTGTTATCCAATTTATAAAATTACACATTTTGTCATAAAATTTCATACATTTGTCATCTTGACATATTGATCACTGATATGTATTGTAGATATGATATGTGTATGATAATGTGATATATGTTACATCAATAATTAACATGATATATTATTGGTCAACTAATCTAGTAGTAAAAAGATATACCAAAATTTAAAAGTTGAAAAAGAAAATGTACGATTTGCATGATGGAGGCAAAATTTGCTAAGTGATGAAACATGAGTGGCAAAAAGTGAAGTCCTTAAGTCGAGTACTACTCTTCGCGTATGAAATCAGGTGTGTGATGTGTCACGTTGATTTCTGTTACCTGTTGTCATTAGAGCTGAACGGATAGCAGCAGGAGACCAAGTAGGATGAAATGATTTGACATACCCTGCTGCACCTGACACGTGGGGACAAGACATTGATGTTCCTGAGATAATATTGAACTCTAATTTTCTTTCGTCTCCAAGAGTTCCAGTAGCAGAGCCAAGTGGAGACCAACTAGCCACAATGTCAACTCCAGGAGCTATCAAATCCGGCTACAACATTAAACCAAAAATAAATAATAGTCATGACAAATACTGTTACATGATAGAGATATGTTTGATTATTCATTCACAGAAATGTACCTTGAGAATTTCAGGTGTAATTAAATTTGGACCCCTTGATGAGAAAGAGGCTACCTTGGGGGCCAAAGTATCTTTTATCTCATTGCTCTTAAATATGGTTGCAATGGGATCCCTGCATGGTTTTTTCAAGCAATTCACTTAAGCAAGTGTGGTACAGGTACTCTAAATGGTGGTTAGTGTACTCTGTATCTTTCTTTTATTTGCAAGAATGGAACTCAGTACTAACGAGTTACAACAACTCACGCACACTGTTTAACCAACTGAGTTGAATCTCGTTACTAGTATCTAAAACATACAACTGATACCTTGTAGATTTTATGTAGTCGTATACACTGGCACCATCCTTCAAATCAAGGTAAGACCCAGGCAAGCCACAAGTGATTGGAACATCTCTTCCACTTTGACCCTGTGACAGGAAACCAACAGCACCAGCGTTGAGGGTGGCTGACCCGGACATATCAATGCTTCCTCCCTCGCAGAGAACAATTTTACCCTTCATCAAATTTGAATCCAATGAATTGAATGAGTAATACCTGCAATGTGGGAATAATATCATTAACAAATTATAGATTTTTGGAACGTTTCCTTTATTCAACAATGCCACTTTGGAGCACACAAGATTATTTATATGTACTACATTGTTTTCCTTTGACCATAACGTTCATTTTTTAACTTTTACATGTTTAGTTCAAGGACATCAAGGATAGTTAAGTTACCTGGATGAAGATTCATCCATGCCTGCTTTAGTATTTGGTGCATCTCCACCAAAGATTATAGGGTAGAATTCTCCCTTAAGGTCAAATGTATTTACCGAGATTCCCTAAAAATGAAACAAAGAGAATGAGAGCAGATTTTACAATTTTATTTAAAGATAAGTTATAGTTAAAGGTTGATCAATTACAAACCGAGTTAGCTTAGCTTGCAGTCAAGGAAAGAGGCTATGATGTGACCTTAAATTTTGAACTCACCAATACGGATCATATAGTCTAAAAAGACTTTTGAAAACTTCTCTATTTAAAAATAAAGACTGTTTTTCGTAAAGAAACCCTTAAAAGTACTTTAAAACTTGTATAAGGCATGTTTGAAATAAGTAAGGCTTGTTCTTGAACATTGGATAGGGAAGGTACTTCACCTCAAAAGTTCTGTTGTCTCCTAATTCAACCCTGGTAACAAACTTCCTGTCTATGGTGCTAGCAGCCACTGCAATTGACCAAGGTGCTAAATTCGTTACGGTTGCAGGAATTGGACCACTGTTCCCTGCTGAAAATACTGCCAGTATGCCATTTTTCATGGCATGGAATGCTCCAATGGAAAGTTCATCTGAAAAATAGTTCATATCATTGTCTCCTCCAAGTGACAGTGACAATATGTCCACACCATCGGCAATTGCATCATCAAATGCAGCAAGAATGGCTGCAGTATCACATCCACCTTCCCAACACACTTTATAGACAGCAATGCGTGCTGACGTGGCACCACCTCTTGATGTTCCTTCTCCAAGGCCTAACATGCTTGCCCTGCTAACTGTGTTCCCAGCTGCTGTTGATGCTGTATGAGTCCCATGACCCTGTGTGTCTCTTGGAGAATATTGGAGATGTTTTTCACTCTTGAACCTGTCAGTATCATCCACATCAATTCTATAGTACTTGGCACCAATTATTTTACTGCAAGAACATAGCAACATTTGTTAATTAGTATAGTGTACTTCTTATTTTGCATGTCTTCTCTAAGCAGCTTGAGGAGTTAGTTAGTTCAAGTATAATACTTGTTGCAAGTGAAATTATAGGCTTGGCAAGTGCCCTTCCATTTACTAGGTGGTGGACCGAACCCTTTGTCATTGAAACTCTCGGATTCGGGCCAGATTCCAGAGTCAACTAGTCCAATAATGATGTCACTTTCAGTGTTTCTTCTTTCCACGTTTTGTGGAAAGCCAATAAAATCCCAAGACTTTGTCGTGTGTAGTTGTTTCTTTTCATTAGGAAAGACAGACACCACTCCATCAAGTGCTACATTACCAATTTTCTTGGTTAGTGAATCTACAAATCCAAATAGAGTTTTCTAGAGGATAGATTAGTTTCTCACCAGCCATTCTATCAGCTTCTTCCTTTGTTAGCTTCACAACAAAGCCACTGAAACTACGCTTGTAGTGGTGCAGTACAGTCTTAGGTGCAGCATTGCTGAAATTGTGAACACAAATCAAGAAAATTAGTCAAAGATGAATTTTTCTAGTTCAGTATTTTCTTCCTAAAATTCAGTTTGCACTAAACTTCCAACTTCAACTTTAGAGACTCATTATATTACAATTCTTCTTTTATGTCTTTGACAAACTTTTGTTGCAAGACTAGTCACACAAACTAGTTCAAAACTTAATTGCTCAAAATTATGATGGAATAATAACCTGTCTGCAACTTCTTGTAGCATGTTTTTGTAAAGGGACAATGAAGAAACTTTATCGTTCATTCTGTTGCCAGTGTAGACTATGTAAGTCTGCATTCAGAACATCATTGTCATAAACAAGAAAATGCAAACGTTGTTGGCTAAGTTAAGCCATAAAAGAAATGGACAATGGCAATTTGAGCAAGTTTCACCATAGTAAATGAAAGTTATGCTAATAGTTATTAACCTTCAGGTCATCTGGTGAATTTGAGTGACATTTCAGCACTAGTGAAGTAAAACATAGGAGGAGAAGCAAAAGAAGAGTTGAGGATCTATTTTCCATCGTCAGGTTCAGGGTAGTAGCGACTAATAACATCATAGTGGAGTAACTAGTAGATGATGTGTGTTTATATACTCTTACGGACCTCAAAATTGTTGGGAAGTCTCACATTGATTGCTTGTCTCAATTATTTAGATGTGGTTTATATATCTATTGGACAAATTCTCTTAATATCAATTGATTTTTAGACGAAACCAAATTTAATATGATATTAGAGCCTATAACCCATTTTCTTGATTTACTTATTCTAGTATATTGTGATTAAAATATAACATATACGCTCAATAAACAAATATTTGCATTCGTGAAATTTTTGTTATGCGAATATTTTTAAGTATTTGTGATTGATAATAGATAAATAAACTAACAATTTTTATACGTAATATATATATATATATATATATATA